TGGGTTACGGTTTTGGTCTTTTGCTTGTGCTTGTGTTGAGGGTGGTGGTGTTTTGTTTTGTTTTTAAGACCTGGAGGACATGGAATTTGTTTATAAATGAGATTGGAGAGAGATGGGAAACAGGGCTGTAACTCCATCAGAGATTTCTGTGGTTGCGTGAACTGAAAACCCCCAGGAGTTCACAGGCTGGGTGTTGTTTTAATATTGTTTATTTAGAAGGTAAAACACATGTAATTAAAAAATTTTTTTAATGATATTCAAATAGAAAAAAAAAAGTCAGTGTAAAGAATGTCTCCCTCCTACTTCTAGTATTCCTCATAAGAGGCAACCAGTGATACTCATTCCTTCCAGAATATTCTCTGCATATATTCTGTATTTCTCTGCATGTGCAGAATTTACACATTTGCACCTTTCTTTTTCTAATATAGTGGTATATCTTAGAGTTCTTTTCCTACTTGTAAATAGAGATCTGCCTCAGTCATTTTAGTGAAACATTCATTGTACAAGTGGGGTCAGATTTCAAATGACATTTGGACAGCAGGATGTTGGATGCTGGACTCTATTAGCCTGGGTGACAACCTGCTATTACCTGTCGCATCACATGGTTCTTTGTGGATTTTCCCTCTCCTTCCTCCTGCCCCTCATCACACTTATTCCCAGTGGTCAGCCTCAAAAACTAGTAAGATATGTACCAGCCTTCTGTGCCATTTTTCTCATTTCTTTAGAAAAGAAATATCTTCTGCCTGGCTGAGTTATCAGCAGAGTCTCGATGGGGCATAAGGGATTCTGGGAAACTGGGAGGAGCTCTAACCCAGGAGCCAGGAAGCTCAGAGACCCCAGAGTTACGCTGTCCTGTGTGTGATTTTTATTGTGAGCCAGGTGTGTGATTTGAAACTGTATCCTCACATTAAGAGATTGTAAAGGCAACAGGTAAAATTAAATTGAATAATTATTTTGCTTAACCCAATATATTGGAAATGGTGTCAGTTTAGCGGGTAATCAATATTGAAAAATTATTGAGATATCTTTGTCCTTTTTTTCATATCAGCTTTGAAACCCAAAGTGCATTTTCCTCTTGTAGCAATTGCAGTGGAACAAGCCACGGTTCCGGAGCTGAGTGGCCACATGTGGCTGGTGGCTGCCCTACTGGACTGCACAGCTCTAGACCCCCTGACTGTCACTGATTCATGCTGACTAAACCACTAGCTTCTCCAGGCCTGTGTCCTCACATTTGAAAGAGTGAGATGGGCCAGATGGTGTCAACAGCTGCTCTTCATCCCTCTGTCCTCTGGCTCCCAGTGCGAAAAATAGAAAGCCACGGGCACAAGCCACAGGACAAGAGGGCCTCCTGTTGCACCTTAATTTCCCCATCCATAAAATGGGGACAATCTCGTGACCTTGGTCAGGGGGAGGATGATAACTGGCCTCAGATGAGGATGTGCTTTGAGGTGGAGGAGGAGGGAGGCATGGCACTGCGGAATTGTCTTCAGGATTAGGATTAACCCTGGTGAGCTCAGAGCCTACTCGCTCCAGAGGGCTGCCTCCTGGTTTACTTCGTGGGACCGCAATCACCTTGTCTGTCTGTAAGGTAGGGACAAAAATGGCACTTACCTCATCCAATTGCTGTCGGTATTAAATAAGACACCCATGCAGAGGTCTCAGCGCCATGCTTAGCGCACAGTAGACACTCCATCCCTCCCAACGGCTGTTGTTACCATCCTCCGGTTGTGGAAATGTGGCCCAGGATGGGGAGTGGCTTGCCCAAGGTCGCACAGCAAGATGGTAGTAGCAGACGCTGGCCTATTTTGGCTCCCTCCTTCTCCCTGGCAGTTGTCCCCGAAAGTCAGCCGCTCATTTCCTCGCAGCGAGGTAAGTGAAATAAATACACCCGAACCCACTGAACTACTCGAAGGAGGCCCGCGTCCAAGTATTGTTTCCATGGTATGTACTCTGGTGCGCATGCGCTTGTGATTTGCTTAAATTCGTGGCTCCAAAGGGTGGAGGCTGGGTTGGCAGGATATGCTACCCTGGCGCCCTGCTCCTGTGCTCAATGCCCCATACCGTGGCCGGCGCGATATTCTTCGGTGTCATTTCAAGCAAAGGCCCCCCTTCTAGATGGCATGTGACGTTCTGATGGCAAGGCTGTGATGGAGGGAAATTGCACTGAATCATCTCATATTCTATAACAGTATCAGGAAGCCCTTTCCTCTGAGCGTTCTTTCCATGGCATTGGGAAGGACCCTGCATCTGCTGTTTTATTTAATCTTCCCAGTTACCTAGGGAGGCGGCAATTTCTTAATGACCACATATCACAGATAAGGGAACTGAGATTCAGAGAAAATAAAGAACCCATCCTGAAACACGGGCAGAGCCAGAAAGGGCCTTTAAAACCTTCCTTGTGGCAGAGGGGTGGCCAGCCATTTCGGGCGCCCCAGATTTAGGAGCCTCCTGGACACTGGACACTTGCAAGTGGGGACAAGTGGGTCTTTCCCTATAGGGGCTTAATTTATTCATCTGTAAAATGGGATAAACAAACCTGACCATGGGTAAAAATACAGCAGCAGATAAGGATGTGTTCTGAGGAAGGAAAGGAGGAAATCAGAGTATTTTTGTAAGGTTGACCGTGGTGGGTGCTCAGAAATCACTTAGACACGGGGCCTCTTCTTCCTGTCTCCCTGTCTCTTTATCAGCAGACACTGCATATTCCTGTCTCTCCCAAGCCCAGCCTCTTTCCAATTCCTTCCAAAGATCCAGTTGCCTTTCTGGGGCCAAAGTCTGAGAAACAGCACCCCAGTTTTCCCGAGCACCAGCCAGCAGCCCTCTCTGATGTAGCGAGCAGCTGAGAAAGAGAGAGAGAAAGCCAAGAGTGGCTGGAGAGGCTTCTGGATCATTTTCTTTTTCCTGTTTTCTGAAGCCAAGCCAGGATCTGTCCTTGTTAAGGTCTGGCCCATACCAGTGTGCAGAGAGCAGAGCTCAGAGGCCTCACTTCCCCCAAGAGCTCACCTTCAAGTCCCTTCCTTAATTAGAGAATGGAGTCCAATGCCGACCTCAGACACTCAAGAGAGATCTCGAGGTCTCAGCTGTCTCTGCCTCCAGCTAAACAAGGAGCATCCTGGGTTTGGTACCCAGAGGAGGAGGGGCTCAGGGAGAGTTAAGGAAGCAAAGGGGAGGGCCAGGCCGGTGCGCCCCAGGGAGGAAGGACACAGTGGTTCTGGATGGCTTTCCCTGCAGACCAGTCCCCAGCAGCAAGACACTGAAAGACACTCGGTTGGTTGACATGCGGGCCACACACACTCACATACACGGCAGAGAAATGACACAGCTTGCGGGTGATGCATGAATACACAGAGAGAAACACACACACACAGCAATGCCAGATGGAGAACGCGGCCCGGGCTGGGCCCGAGTAGTCATTATTCCTTCACCCACACAGACAGGCTGGCAGAGTTGCATAATACAAGCTGCAAGAGGGGAGGCTCAACCTGCTAACCACCCCCACCTCGAGGGGATCCAGGAAGTGATGCCTCCATGGGGGAGGGGCAGGGGGTGTCTGCACCCACCTCCTGCTCACAGGAAAATTTGCCAGTTACCTAAGCCCTAGGGGGACCCCAAGAATTCACTAAAGAGGAAACGAGTGAGTATCACCTAGTTCATAGTGGCAGATGGGGGCTCCCCCTTGTGCTAAACCTGGTGAGGATGCGGGCAGGAAGGGATGCCTGCATAGAGATGGACTGGGGCTTAAGCTTGGGATGGAGAAGAAGATGGGGCAGGGGTCGGGGAGGGTTCTCGGCTGCCCCAACCTGCCGCCGCTCCATCCCCAACCCACAGGTCACCTGCCCCAACGCAGACACATAAAACACACAGTAGCTGCCTGCTGTGTACATGCCACAAGTACACCCCAGCTGGTTCCCCTGTTGGCCTTTGGTATCCCAACTGTACCCCATTTCCCCAAGCCTGGGGGAATTGGTGGGATTTGAGAAAATGAGAATATAAAATTTTTAAAGCTGGAGTGTAAGTTTAAAAGCTCAGGCTCAAGAATAGGTCTGACCTGGGTTTGAATCCTCCCTCTGATGTGACCTTGGACAAGTGACTGATCTTTCCCGAGCCTTGGTCTTCTCATCTATTGAAGGGTAACTGAGAATCCAAGGGAAAAAAACGATACCTTAGGGGCATACATGCCCAATATTTAATGTGTTTAGTCTTTTGAGATTTTTCTTCTTCATTCAACAAATATTTATTGAGCACCTGCCACCCGCTTACGGTAACCCTAGGAGTACACAGGCCATTCTTCCTAATGTTTCTCTGCTAGGGTTCCAGATGGTCTGTGAAGTTCAGAGGTCCTCCAGAGGTTTGTGTGGACCCATGTCTTTGGTATTTATTATACCAAATTTGGTTTATAATGGTTTGTAATGTGGTGAAGTCTGTCCTTTTGAGCCTGGAGCAAGCTGATAATTACAAAAGTGGTCATAAAGGCCAATCGCCATCCCTTGTCGGTGGCTCCACAGGAGGTGGCATTTTCCCTTTCCTGTGGGTTTCTGAAAGGGGCTTTGGGAGTGGCCAGAATGGAGAGCCCACAGATCTGGGCCAGCTGAGCCCCGGACCTGTGAATGGAAAGTATTTGCAGAACACAGAGCCAAAGGCCGCGTGACATGTTGGAGCCGTGACGTCTCGTGGTGGGAGAGAGATAAGAGAGGTCTTATGATTCTTGCCATTTGATTTCTGGGGCTGATTGTGGTTTTTCTTGGGAGACCCTTGGTTTTGGAGGGCTTTGATCTTGGAGATGAAGCGAGGCAATTTGCAGCTAATTGGGAAGGTATCCCATCAAGGAAGAAGCATTTCATTTCTAGGTTGGCTTCAAAACTCCAAAGCATCTTCACGGCTAGACTTCTCTGTTGGCTACATTTTCCATCTGAGTTTGGAAGGTGGTGTCGGCTGCTCCACATCGCTCTCCATTTTAAAATTCTCTCCATCTCCTCCCTTGTTCCTTCTCTTCATCTCAGGAAACCCCAGATCTGATCTGCACCTAACGGGTCCACGATGCCTCGAGAATAGTCCACACTAGCGTGCGTCCCCTCTCAACACCTCCAGACATGTCTCCTCCCCAGTCTGCCTGACCTGTGGCTTAGGGACACGTCCTGCCCTGACGTCTGCCTGCTCAACCATCACTTCCTAGAGAACAGGGAGGAGGGCAGACGCATGAAATCATGCCACCCCTAGCCGGACAGCAATGAGTGGGTGACGCCGAGTTGACGTCAACACCAGAGAAAACCAAAGCCCGGGCGCTGCTCATTCTCGAGACTCTGCACAGCGCCAGCAGCTCCAACCACCAGCTCCTTCTCTGGATGCAGCCTGAAGCCTGGCTCCTCCTGGTGAAACCGTCTTGGCTTGACATACTTTGAGGTCCTCAGAGCTCAGACGCCAGACACCATGGAGAACCACGTGTTCAGTGTTCAGCAAATCCAACCCAATGTCATCTCTGTCCGCCTCTTCAAGCGCAAAGTGGGGGGCCTGGGATTCCTGGTGAAGGAGCGGGTGAGCAAGCCGCCTGTGATCATCTCTGACTTGATACGAGGGGGTGCCGCAGAGCAGAGTGGCCTCATCCAGGCCGGAGACATCATTCTAGCGGTCAACGGCCAGCCCTTGGTGGACCTGAGCTATGACTGTGCCCTGGAGGTGCTCAGGGGCATTGCCTCTGAGACCCACGTGGTCCTCATTTTGAGGGGCCCTGAGGGCTTCACCACACACCTGGAGACCACATTCACTGGGGATGGGACCCCCAAGACCATCCGAGTCACACGGCCCCTGGGTCCCCCCACCACCGCTGTAGATCTGTCTCATCAGCCATCAGCCAGCAAAGAGCAGCCCCTGGCAGTGGACGGGGCTGTGGGTCCTGGTAATGGGCCGCAGCATACCCAAGGCAATGGGCAGGAAGCCACCTCGCTCTCCCACACCAACGGTCTGGCTCCCAGGCCCCCACGCCAGGATCCTGCCAAGAGAAGTGCTGGGGTGACCCTCCAGGGCAGTGGGGAGAATAATGAGCTGCTCAGAGAGATAGAGCCTGTGCTGAACCTTCTCACCAGTGGGGGCAAGGGAATCAATGGAGGGGGACCTGCCAAGGTGGAAAGAAAAGATGCAGAAGTCCAGGTGGACAGGTAAGCCCCACAGGTGCATACCTGTGTGTGTGTGCATGTGTGTGTGTTGTGCGCTAGCATATACTGCCACTGCCTCAGAGTCCAGAAGCCAGCCTGAGGTGCCCCAGACATCTGCAGAGGCATGTCCACTGGTTAGTGCCTCTTTCCCTTAAAACTGCAATTGGAAGAGTGGAATGGGCCTAACTTCTAGTGTCTCCCTTGCCTTGAAACCCAGAGCTAATGAGCGTGGTAACTGAAGTCATGTCTTCCAGCAGCCCCACAAGGTGGGCATTTTTGCAGTCCCCATTTCCTAGGTGAGAGACTGAGGCTCGGTGGGGTGGCGGGAGCCTCTCCCGAGGTCACCCAGCATGTGAGAGGCTTGTGTGCATGGCAGATTTCCACGGGGTGGGTGCTAACTAAGGCATCCACCTTAGAAGAGAGAGGAGACAAGCCGAGCCCTGGGCAGCCCTCAGCCTAAATCAGCCCCTTCCTATGACAGCCAGTCAAGGATGGTTCTAAAGGAAGGGAATGGAATCAAAGTATAGAATTGACCCCAACTCCCCAAAACAGTGGTCTTCCTCGGATTATGTGGGAGCCGAGGCTAGAACTTGAAGATTGGCATTTTCTGATCCTACAAGGGAGGAGAGCTGGCAACACAGTGGGTGATTCTAACTCCTTCTCTGAGGAAGAATCAGCAGCTGGACCAGGTGCTTGGAGAATGGTGGGGCAGGCCAGCTCTGGGGCCACCCAGAAATCCAGGCCAAGGTTTCCCACCCCCCCTCCCCAGGACCCCTGAGTGTCCCAAGAGCATTTAGGGGTAGCCAGTAAGTTGCTCAGGGACCTGGATTAAAGTGTCTCTCCAGGTCCCTGCATGGCTTCATTTAACAAATGTTCATTGAGGACCTACTGTTCTAAGGAACAAAGCTGGAGCAATGAATGGGATAGACAAATCCTTGGGGAGACAAAGAATAAACAAGATAAAGATGTAAAATACGGAATCTGCTATGTGTTAAGGAGATGGATGAGGGGAAGGGGTTAGGAAGTGTTGGAGATGGTGAAATTTTAGGAATGCTGGTTGGGTCTCAAGGAAGGTGATGTGGAAAGACCCAGTTGAGGGGGAGAATGGAGCCTGGTAACTTTAGGGAGGAAGGGGCTTTCGGGCAGAGGGGATGGCAGGTGTCAAGGTCCTGAGGTGCAGGTATACCTGGCACATTTGGGGAGCTGCATGGGGTCCAGTCCTCCATCCTGGTGGGGCCATCCACAGTCCGTGGCAGCCCACTTTGGCCCACCATTGCATCCTGGGGCTTTTCCAGCTTCCCACACCTGGGCAAAAGTGGAGCCAATTTCAGCAACACCCCAAGTAGGAAGGTTCTTCCTACTTCTGTCAGAAGCTCCTGAGCAGAGGAGTCTCTTCCCAGCCTGGGAGTCTGAGTCTCCGTGTGTGATATGAAGCAAGGGTCACCCACTGCCCTTCAAGCCCCTGCCCTCCAATCCCCTCCTCCCTTCTCCAAGTTGCCTAAGGGACATCTGGGAGTCTCCCCACCCTCTGGGGCCCATTTCCACAAGAGATGGAGAGTCTTGGCCCCCTACACAGGTCGTGGTGCAACCTTGGTCGGGTGGGTGCATGGTGACCTCTGTTGCCCTGATGTCCATTTCCAGGGCTGGGGGCCTGGATCACCCACAGCCAGCATGGAGGGCCCCCAGGCTAGAACTCGACCCTCAGGGGAGCTGCCTACTCCCAGGGGTCCCCACATAGCCAGTGGAGGTGGTTTAGTTTTGATGTAGCTTCTGAGCAGGTAGCAGCCCCCCATGTCTCACTCCATGGACGGAAATTCCAAAGCAGCTGTGGAAATCCAGAACCGGCCATCCGTCTTGTTTTCCAGGGGGCATGGCCTCTTCCTCCCAATCCTATACGCCTCCCATTTCCTCGCCTCTCCCTGGAGGAGCAGCAAGATGCTGAGGGGGCTACTGTACCCCACAGGGGCAGCCCGTCCTGGGAAGTGGGACCCCGACTGTGTCTCATGGCCCATACTCTTGGTTCTGATCCGCAGCTGGACGTGGGGCGGGCACAGGGCTGTGAGTAGGGAATTCCTGGGGGCTCTAGTTCAGTCTCTTCCCAGCCTGGGCATCTGAGTCTCCGTGTGTGATATGAAGAAGCCCCCCAAAGGGACTCTCCTGTCATGGTGTCCCAGCTGACAGAGTGGGACACAAAAGCACAGGACGCCAGGCCTGGGGGAGACTGTCAGATGTGAAGGACTCTAATGGGAGCCCTCATATCAGCCAGGCCTAAGGGGCCTCTCCAAACCCCGTCTCAGGGAAGAAGCCATCACTTCCCGAGGATAAGGGGGGGACAAGGCGCTCTGATGTGGGGTCCTGCTCTGGCAGAACTACTTTCCCAACTTGGGAGGCTGCATCTGAGCTCTTGACCTGCCCGCATCCATCATGGCCTTCCTCCCATTGCCCCTTGCCAACCTTGCCCAAAGTGCAGGTGTCTGACCAAAAGCAGCAGAAAACACTGCCTCAGAGGAGGTGAGGTTCAGGAGCAACAGGCCCAGGGCCGTACAGGGTTCCCTGACCCCACGAGAGTCAGTCCGTGAGCGTGGTTTTAAGGATGAATAGCACCCCTCGCTCAATGGCTCACACCCGTGCTACGCTAAAACATTTTCGACAATATATTTTCAAATGCCCCCTTTACTAATTGGAAGCTAATTCATGGGTCATATAACTTACCCACACTTTACATTTTTCTAACACCCTACCTATAAAATACAGGGGACACGGCATAAAAGTAATTTATAATAAAAGAACCTATAATTTAATATATCCGTGCTCAAGCATGACTCCCCTGGAATGGTCAGACGTTTGTGCCTAAACGTAGAATTGCTGCGAACACAGCAGCGTCTGTACAGACTGACACAGGTGTGCTGTTGTGGTGACTCAGACGCCACCAGCCGCGTCTCCATGGTGATTTGATTTTCCAAAATGGTGGATAACTCTGATAAAATGATATCTTGTCTGGCTTTGGTGTACCCAGTGTGGTTGCATTCCTGGAAAATTCAGTGTACTTTAAAGCCGTATTTCTAGGTACAACCGAACCGGGGTGTTGGCTCAGGGATTCAAGCGTGTCTCGGTGGCTGTGCGCAGGTCGCACAGAGTAGGCAGGGCGTTTCCTCCTTGTAGGCGAGCCTCGAGCCTCTGGCACCGCAGGATGCCCACCGCCGGTGCTGCCTCCCTCCCACCAGGATGCAGGAGCACTCTCCATCGCTGTAACGATCAGAAGCGCCCCCAAATTGCCAACCTGCCTCCTAGGGGCTGAAATGAGGTGCCTCCTTAAGAATCAGTGTCCCGAGTCAGGACCTGGAAGCCCAGAGGTAGAGGAGCCTTTGGGGTCACTCTCAGGACAAGCAGACCTGAGAGGATTATTCAGGCCCCGGGAGCACACGGCTGCCTGGAAATTGCTCGTCCTGCCAGCGGCCTCTCCACCCAGGCTGCTTTTGTAGGGTGGGGGCAGAGCTGGTATCCTGGATGATGGATGGACAGGTGGCAGTGAGGCAGCTGCCCGCCAGGCCCGGAGCCCCACATACGGGTCACGCTCTGGGGCCGAGCAGCGGCCAGGCCGTCACTGGTTCTCAGTGGTGCCGTGACCCTTGTGTTCCCCGGGCCCCCTTACTTCCTCCCTCCCTCCCCTCTTTCCTCTTGGACACAGACTCCTCCTGCCCCTGCTAGGCCCCTTCCCCCACAGCCCTCATGTTAGGGGATGCTGGCCCTTATCTGGGGCAGAAGTGGTGTTTAGTCTAGACAGTCTCATCCCTTCATCCCAGGGGGAGGTAACCCCTGCAGAAGGTAGCGGCGTGTGGGGGAGTGAAGGAAAATCCGGGCCTTCCAGGACCTTCTGCGCTAGGAAACGGTCACTTTAAGATGCTGCATGTCAGAGGATATCCAGGTTGCTCAGCTTGCTGCCCTGAAGGAGGGTTTTAAAGAGGCCAAGGTCCCCAGTCAAGATCCATCTGGACCAGCAGCTCAGCCTCGCCCTGCTCGCTAACTTCTCTTCCACTTGCAGGGCACTCGGTCACTCACAGGTGCCTTCACAACAGCCACCCCTTCAGAGCTTGCAGGAATTCAGCTACCCAAGTAGGGTGTATGGTTTTAGCCCCCTTTTATAACTGAAGGAACTGAAGCTCAGAGAGGTGAAGCAACATGCCCAGAGTCACACAGCACCGTCCACAGGGTGCTGCCTTGGTTCTACCTAGAAAACTCAGTGTAAATGTCTACAAGTAAAGAGACACCAGGCAAGAGAATGTAGCTGGAGGTCCTGAAGTCAATTTCAACCCTAGAGAATCAGTTTAATTCAGGGGAGGAGGCCTCCTTCTATTAACAAGCCTGAGTCTTTGGACCATTAGGCTAGTCAGCCTTCCCTGAGCATTCCAGATGGGCCCATTCCCACGCTAAGGTCTTTATTATCAGTTAATTCATTTGTTTCTCATAGCATCCCATTTTCCTGATAAAGGAACCAAGGCTCAGAGAGGTGCAGTCTCTTGTCCCAGGTCATACAGCTAGCAAGCGACAAAGCCAGGACTGGACCCCAAGCCCATGCTCTTGACCTCTCCAAACTTTGTAGATTGCACTGTTGGCCACAGTGTATTTGGCCACTACCTATAAAGTTTTTGAGGACACTGGAATATTTTCTCAGTCTGACAGGGAAACTAAGGCCCTGAGGTTCCCTATATGAAAGATAGCACCACGGCGGGCTGACCTCAGACGGACCCCGGACGGCACTGATCTCGGGTTTGTCTGTATTCACGCATCCCTAGGCTGTGCCTGACATGCCTCCCAGCTTTGAACTGCTCTGCTGGCATCGCGCAGCCACAGAATGGACTCCAGTAGCTCTGCTACTGAGATTCACATGGAATCTCGGTGCCACTTTTCATTCTCACCTTGACCATTTGAGTGTGAGTGGCCTCCCAGTCCATTATTTCCTGGGTAGGGGAGCGAGATCCTATTTATAGTTATTATGCTTGCAT